AACAAATCTAACCAAAACTCTCCACAAAAATTCAAATGAAATTTAGGCGAAAAATAATCTGTCAGAGGATTAATTTAGTAAACATCTTAGCCTAGTGACTTGCCTATTACTGTCTTCTACACAGTAACTAGTTACATTCTTCAGTACGTTATATATACCTTTATATGTGTGTGTGTGTGTGTGTGTGTATATATTTATTTATATATAGATTTATTTAAGATATAGATTCAATTCTTAAATAAATCCACTAGTAGTTCACCTAGAGGGTTGATTACTGGATAGTAATTCACTCCAAATCAAAAATTAAAAACTGAGGGGTTAGTCTTAGGCATTTAAGAAATACAAAAATCAGATAGATCCAACGATTTTCATGCTATCATAAGCCGTTACTTGGACTGCTTTCTTGAACCTTCCAAATTTCAACTGTAATGTGAAATTTGGAGAACAACACTGCCATCCAGGGATAGAGAACTGAAGGTGCAGAGCCGGAAAAGGAAACAACACAGTGGTTCTCAGTACTGAAACACTCAACTGTATAGCTATCTGTTGTGAGGGAATTACTAATAACTGTTCAAGTACAAAAGATTACGAATGACACCACAGGCTTAAAAAAATGACAGGACTCCCCAAAGCTTCTCTTTCACTGACTCATTCAGTTAATAGAAAGGTGTAGAACTATAATCACTTTGTTAATACCAGCCCATAACTTGCCTTTTTTTTTTTTTAAAGATTTTATTTATTTATTTGACAGACGGAGATCACAGAGAAGCAGGCAGAGAGAGAGGAGAAAGCAGGCTCCCTGCTGAGCAGAGGGCCTGACACGGGGCTCGATCCCAGGACCCCGGGACCATGACCCGAGCCGAAGGCAGAGACTTTAACCCACTGAGCCACCCAGGCGCCCCCATAACTTGCCTTTTAAAAGCACTTTACTGAGGTAAGAATCATATACAAAAAGCTATCCACAATTAATATGCTCAGCCTAATAACTTTGGAGGTAACTATATATCAGGAAACCATAACCACAATCTAGGCCATTAGTATATCCATCACCTCCCAATTTTTTCCTGCTCTTTCTTATTGCATACTGCCTTTTTTTTTTCTCTCTCTCTCTCTCGAGGATAAAAACACTCAACATAAGGGGCTCCAAGGTGGTTCAGTCCTTAAGCATCTGCCTTTGGCTCAGGTCATGAACCCAAAGTCTGGGATCTAGCCTCGTGTCGGGCTCCCTGCTCCACGGGAAGTCAGCTTCTCCCTCTCCCACTCCCCCTGCTTGTGTTCCCTTTCTCTCTCTCTCTGTTAAATAAATAAATAAAATCTTAGAAAAAAAACACACTCAACATAAGAGCTATCCTCTTGGCAAATTTTTAAGTACACAATATTGTTAACTATAAGCACTATGCTGTGCAGTAGATCTCTAGGACTTACTCAACCAAATAGCTGAAACTCCTTACCCTTTGACTAATACCTCCCCATTTGTCCCTCAATGGCAACCACCATTCTACTCCTTCCTTCTCTGAATTTGACTGCCTTAGATTCATGTAAGTGTTTAAGGTAGTATTTGTCCTTCTGTCTTATTATTTCACTTAGTGTAAGGTCCTAATATCAATTGATATCTTCATATCTAACAATAGAAATGGCAGTCATCAGGAATGTTAGATAAAGAAAAGATTATTTTTGAGATAATTTTCTTTTCTCAAAGAAAGTGTCCTGAATTGTGGGTCCTCCCCTCAATCCATATACTGAAGTTAAAATCCCCAATGTGATGGTATTTGGAGATAAAGTCTTAGGGAGGTAATTAAGATGAAATGAAGTCATAAAGGTAGAGCCTGAATCCAACAGAATCATTATTTTTAAATGAAAATCAATGGACATCAGAGAGAGAGAGAGAGAGAGCCCAGACAATTCTCTCTTTAGGTGTGTACACTGTAAAGGCCATCTGAGGACACAAGAAGGCTGTGTCTGCACACTAGGATGAGAACCTTCACCAGAAGCAAACATGATGGTACCTTGAACTTGGACTTCTACCCTTCAGAACTGTAAGAAAATAATTTCTGTTGTTGAGCCACCCAGTATGTGGTATTTTGTTTTGGCACCCTGAGTAGCCAAATAGAGTGGGATCTGACAAACTCATGACTAACCTGAAACTGGAAAACTGGATTCCCATTCAACATGCTGGATCCTTACTTTCATTAAAAGAACACTGTAATAAGGAGGAAAGAGGTCTTACTTTTAACGATAATAAACTTGTTGTTTCATATATCTGACACCATTTAACTGATCCAGGTTAACCCTTAAGAAGGAAAAGGTAAAGGTGGTTTGATGAGTTGCTTTCGAGAGAAAACTATAGTTTCTTTTTTTTTTTTTAAGATTTTATTTATTTATTTATTTATTTATTTGACAGCGATCACAAGTAGGTAGAGAGGCAGGCAGAGAGAGGGGGAAGCAGGCTCCCTGCTGAGCAGAGAGCCAGATGCGGAGCTCCATCCCAGGACCCTGGGATCATGACCTGAGCTGAAGGCAGAGGCTTTAACCCACTGAGCCACCCAGGTACCCCCCTATAGTTTCTTTAATACAAAAACATTGTTATTACTAGAGGAAATGTGAATAGCTTAATAAGAGCAGGTTAATAGAATCATCTTTGCAAAGAATCAAGATAACAAGATATCAGGGACAATGGAAAATTACTCTTCACTTTTAAAATAAGCATCTAAGTTTGCCAAGAGCTTATATTATAAAAAAACAGTCTTTACAGAAAAAAACTTAAAGTTAAGCTATTTTATTTTAAATAATATAAAAATGATCTGCTGATGAGAAATTAACTTCTGTTGGGAGCTACAGAAAGGATTCTTTAAAAGGATGGATGGAACTTAACCTAGTCTTAAAAAGTAGCCATTGAGAAAGCAGAGCTGGCAGTGGGAAAGGCCAAAGAGAGAGCCTGGGCTAAGAAAAGATAGAAAACAAACACTGACCTGAGAAGACTGTGCTGGCTGGAGAAGTGAGGTATTGGATAAGAGGGGTGGTCCACAGAAAACACTACAGAGCCTTTAAGAGCCACAGACAAATTTCATATTAAGAACACATTTACTGAAGTATCATGGAATCATAACAACAGCTTTCTCCCCAGTGAGAGGACACATTTTCCATAAAGCTCTAAGCTTATCTTTAAGGTGCCCTTTCCCGTGTATTTATGAATGGAGTGCCTACCACCTACCTGAGTTGAAGAAGCCATTACAGTCCAGAAGCTCAGCTTTAAGAAGGAGAGGTAAATGAATAAGAAGACAATTACAATTCAGTGTATGGCTTGTTAGTGGCAAAACTACTTTTGTGCAACATTATTCAAATAGGAAGTCAACTATCAAGGCATTTGTGCCCAAATCACACATTAAACTAAAAGAATACCAACCCAAATGCAAGTATGATTTAAAGTAATTTGAGTACAGAATCATGACTTAGGAAAATGGGCTCTGGGTATGACTGATAGAGGCGCATAATGAGGCCTAGCTTAAATGTTCTTTCATCGGTCCTGAAGTTACTCATTTTATCTGTGAATCTGAATTTTGTATGTGAAGTCCAGAGAGACAATGAAACTTATTTCAAGGGTTCAGTCTCGGGTCATCTTTGGCCCTGCCTCCTACATCCTCCACTTGAGTACTCTGCCTTCTTATTTTCTTGTCTTTGCCCAGCAACTGCTGACATCTTGTTCCAAAACACGCATCCACACTGAGTCCTGGGGTGCAGGTCCCCAGTACCTGTAAGGGTCTGCAGTAGACCCACCCATATCCCTGTGCTTGAGAGAACACATTAAATACCAAATAAAAATACATGGCATGTCAAAGGACACCATGGAAGAAACAAAACAAAACAAAACAAAGAACTATTTCCTACTTTTTGAGTGAGGGGTCTTGCAATTTCACTTTGCACTGGGATCTGCAGATTTGTGTCACCCATCCCGCAGTCCTGTGGCAGTGGTTGGCCTCAATTGGACAATTACTGGTGAGACACCTGGCTCCTTGCAAGTCAGTTTCCCCATCTGTAAAATAAGAATAGTTCCTATGTCCTTACATTTCTGTGAATATTTTGGAGATAATTCATGCAGAGCTTCTGCCCCAGACTTTGATCCATTTTAACGATCAACACTACCTGGTGTTAACTATTAATTAAAAGATTACCTAATGCAGATTTACTCCCGAATGTCTCCTCTACCTCCAGGCTAATACTTCAAAACAGCTATTCCCATAGGCAGTTGCAAATGTGCTTTAAACGTTTTTGCTTTAAAGGTTCTACTTTTTCATCTTGGTTTTCCCTTATTTTTTTTAAGATTTTATTTATTTATTTGACAGGGATCACAAGTAGGCAGAAAGGGAAGCAGACTCCCTGACCAGCAGAGAGCCTGACGCGGGGCTGGATCCCAGGACTCTGAGCTCATGACCTGCCAAAGGTAGATGCTTACCCCCACTGAGCCACCCAGGAGCCCCCTTGGTTTTTCTTTAAATTTAAACATTGATTACCTAAATTTAAACCTTATTACATTGTGCAGAAAAAAATATGTTCGTGCTTCAGCTACAACGGGAGCCCAGAGAGAAAAAGCTGTATCCAACAAGGACTGCTTGTTAAAAGCACAGAAATCTTCACAAACGCTAGATTAAAAATTCAGAGCAAAATTTGGTCACTCAACTCTACTTTAGTAAAAGGCCTTTCACCTCCCCACTGGCACACCTTACAGAGCCGGGCCACGTCTACAAACGAGTATAATAAAATCAGCGTCTTAAAGAACTTCTAAACTTGGCAACAGGTACCGGGCGCCCTCCGGGTCACCTGCCCGCGTCCGGTTTCCGCAGGAAAGCGCGGTTCCAGCCGGTAACACGCCGCTCCGGAAGTTGTTCTCACTCACTTCCGTTCTCGATCTCCCTATCGCTCAAGCGTCGGCCCGAACGCGGCGCGGATGAGTTTTCAGCCGCAAAGGCTGCCGTAGAGGGGCGTGGTGACGGAGCCACGATTTGCCGGTTCACGTGCCGGCTGCCGCGGGGTCTTCTCAGATGTACCATAGCTCTGCCGGGGACTCTCAACCTCAATAACGAGGTAGGCGCCGAGGCCCGGGGGAACCTGTGGGGCTGCCCTTCAGGACCGCCACAATGGCTTCTCTGGGTCTTTCTGACAAGCCCGTGGTGTCCTGAGGACGAGGGTGCGAGTGCGGCTGGCCAGCTTCTGGGTGGGCCCGGGCGGCTTTCTCGGAACTCGGAGCCTGGCCACAGTAACTTGGCCTCACGGTTCCCAGGTGGCTGCAGCAAAACACCTGTTTCTGGTCCTCGGGCCGCAGGAATTTTTATGTGTGGGATGTTGGGAAGATCATGTAATTTAATATTCAGTGCCCTCGTCTGTAGAACGAAGCTCCTGAGAGTGGCTTCTTTGCAAGGTTGTTGTGAGATTTAAGTTAATTGGAATATGGGAAGCGTTTGCACAGTGCCAGACCGCTAATCCACTCTCTACGCATTTCCTGCCTTTCGTTGGTTGCCGGAGGTGAAGCGGAGGGCTTGAGAGCTCTTTACTAAGGGACTGCTCATCTTCAGTGCGATCGTGTCGCTTCTAAGGATGTACGCCCGCGTTTCTTACTCCAGCTACTCTCCCATTTCTTTCTTCCATGGACGCAAAGTTTTTAGGAAGAGTTGTTTATACTTTCCCTCCCTAATTCCTCTTCTCTCCTTCTTTCTTAAATTCAGTCTGAAATCAGCTGTTTCCCCTTATCACTGCTAACAAAATGTCGGTGTCACTCGGGTACCATTTCTGCCTCTGTCCCCTTTCCACTTTGTGGTTCTATTTACGGAAGTCATCAGACACCTGAAGACTTAAAGTAAGCTGAAAAAGTAAGAATCAAATGAGGACCTCGCAGCTACTGCAAAGGAAGTTCTTTATCTTCTTTATTCAGTGGCTTTTCAAGTGTTTGTCATGGCCAAGACATAGTGTTCATGTTGTACAGTTGTGTGTAGACCTACTTTCTGTTTCCAAGCAACCTATGCTTAGATGGGAAACGGTAGGCAACACCTACCGATGGTACAGCATCATGCCGGGAAAAACAAGGAGTGAAGAAAGGCTGCCAAAGAAGGCAAAATGAAGTGATCGTTCTGTCTTTAAGGATCTTACACTTAATTGCAGTCAGTGATTCAGCGGAGGAATAGAAAGCATTCCAGACAGGGACTGGTATAAGGCAGGAAGAGATGGTAGGAGGAAATCCCTTGGGTGGTATAGGGCTAGATAACTCTCCATTGATGAGAACTTCTGGGATTCAGTAGAAAATGAAACTAAATGATGTTACAGCCTCAGTGCCAAGTTAATTAGTCTGAATTTCACTTGAAAGTGGAGTACAGAATATAGAGAATGGGGAAATTCTGAAGTTTTTTNAAAGTGGAGTACAGAATATAGAGAATGGGGAAATTCTGAAGTTTTTTAACATATGTGCCTAAACACAGATTAAGTGTGTGCTACTTCCAGAAAACATTTGGTGGGCTTTTTCTCATTAGTTTGCCTAGGACGTAAAATACAGCTTCTTTGGAGTGAATCCTTGGGCATTCTTTGAAATACTAGTGAGCATCCCATTCAATTTTGAAATTGCCATAAGAGTACTAATGAGAATCATTTAGGCCTCTTCACTTAAGGTGTTTTCTTTTTCCACTAATTCTCAGTCCTCTTTTTAAAGCAGTTAAAATTTGATCTTTAGGAATTCCTCACAAATTCACCTCAGTCTGGGTGGGTTGTCTGTTCTTTGTGTGACCACTTTCTACTCTTTTTTTTTAAGATTTTATTTATTTATTTATTTATTTGACAGAGAAATCACAAGTAGGCGGGGGGGGGGGGGGCAGGCTCCCTGCTGAGCAGAGAGCCCAATGCAGGCCTTGATCCATGGACCCTGAGATCATGACCAGAGCTGAAGGCAGAGGCTTAACCCACTGAGCCACCCAGGCGCCCCACTTTCTACTCTTGAAACATTTGTCTACCTCTTTCTCTGTTTTTACGTATCTCTCTACCAATGTATGTGCTCTGTGATAATGTTTTCTGGTGACTAGATGAGCTTATCAAATTAGGAAGTGTATATATCCCATGTTAAAGTAAATCTTACACGTTCTTATATGAAGGTGGGGGGGAAAGGACAGCAAAACTGGAAATGATGGAAGGTGTTATAATGGGAGAAAAATATCTACAAAGGGAAAAACAAATACAGATTTGTCTACATAAAAACGGCGAAACGTCCCCAAATTTAAAAAAGACAACCAGGGGCACCTGGGTGGCTCAGTGGTTTAAGCCTCTGCCTTCAGCTCGGGTCATGGTCTCAAGGTCCTGGGATCGAGCCCCGCATCGGGCTCTCCGCTCGGTGGGGAGCCTGCTTCCCCCTCTCTCTCTGCCTGCCTCTCTGCCTACTGTGACCTACCTCCCTCTCTCTCTCTCTCTCTCTCTCTGTCAAATAAATAAATAATTTTAAAAAATAAATAAATAAAAAATAAAAAAGACAACCAGTTAGAAAAAAATGTATAGCANATATGACAAATAAGTGGCAAATGTCATTACTGTAAAATAGTAATTAAGAGAAACTGCCTCTTAGAACATTGGTAAAAGAAATGAATTAACAACTTCTCCAAGGAAGAAATGTATCTGCAAAAAAGTTCACATTCACTATTTTAATGGATCCATTACTTTTTCATTATTGTCCCATCCTAGTCCAAGTTATGCTGCTCACCAGCACTACGGAGCTAGCCTTCAACTACTGTCCTGACTCCTCTCTCTCTCCAGTCTGATGTCCACCGTGCAGCTGGAGTTCTGTCTTCAAAAGAGAAATCTAATCTCACGACTCCCTTGCTTACAGCCTTTTTGATGGTTTCCTGTTGCTGTTGGTAAAGATCAGTCTAAACAAGGCCAGTCTCGTCTCCCCCTTGCAGTATACTACTGCTTCCCGCCCTCCCTCCCCCCTTTTGAGCCTCACTGGCCTTCTCCACTAGGTAGCATAGCACTGTTACACCTCCTTTGCACAAGTTCTTCCTTCTACCCAGAAACCCCTTTTTCTTTCAGTCCACTTCATATTTCTCCTTTTATTTTATCTCCTTGTTATTTTCTCAGGGAAACTGGGTTTGGCTTTCATTTTACCCCTTCTATAAGCTTCTGTAACACCTTTTACTTCTTTTTAGCACTTCAAAGAGTTGCTGAGAGTGTGTGTGTGGATGTCAGAGATTTCGTCTTTCCTCCACCTATCTGTAAACTTTTGCTCAGTATCATATCCTCAATACTGATGTGTTCAATGAGAAACTTGAGAAACTTCAGCCATCATTTTTATGATCCTTAATAACTTAAATTAGCTCTCCTTAACTGGGATTTAGGAATTCTGGGATCCTGTAACTACCTGATATTATGTGTAAATTGGTGTTTGTGTGTGTGCCTCTTAGGGGAAAAGAGTCCATAGGTTTCATCAGATCCTCAGACATTTATAAACCTCTGATATTACCTTTGGAATATTGGTACTCATTATCTGTGCTGATTTTTAATTACGGCTTTTTCTTTTAAATAGTTCTGTGGCCATCTACTTTATAGCATATTTAATTTCCCAAAATGTCTGTTTTGAACATAAAAAGCCTACCTGCACTGGTACTTATTATTACATTATGCTAATTTTCAGTATCTTTTACCTTTAATGTTTTTATTCTTCTCGAAAAATTTCCAAGGAGAAAACCTTACATTTATAGATGACTTCCTGATTCTAAGTTCTTAAAGTAACATTTATTCTTGAGTATATAAAATCTTACCTTTCTAATTTTGCCTTTATTTTTCTTTAAAAAAAAAAAAACACAAAAAGATCATGTTTTACTTCACCTTATGATTATTTATTGCATTTTCTTATTTTGACCAGTACTTTACATGGACTTTGAAGTGAGAATATTTAACTGACTTATAGCATGTTCCCTAGTCTCAAGCATGGGATCTTGTTTATAGGTAATAATGAGTAAATAGCATTGGGCAGATGAAACTATGGGCAGCTCAACTTGAGTTACTTTATGTTCACATGATGGAGGGAAATCTCCTAACTGTACACTTTCTTCTCCCTTTCTGTTAGAGCTAGAGAAAGGACGCAGAATTGGAAACAACAGCACCCTAGCATCTAGTAAATAAAGAATTTGTTAAACCAG